AACAATGGATTCTTTGTATATTGATTCAACAGGTGAGTACTGTACAGTACAATACTACGACAGTATTGTTTAGTAATGAAAGGTTCAGCACTTTCTTCAACAGCAATACATTCTATGAACCATTACTTAGTAGCAGCTTCACTGGTGTCCATTTTTATCAACTGAACAAAACCACCTATGTATAAAATATGAAATCTAGTTAATCATTTAAACTGTATCCTCTTTCCTGTCAGTAGGTGATTTGACTGGAGGCCTGTCACCAGTGGTGTGCCACAAGAATCAGTGCTGGGTCCATTGCTTTTCATCATCTATGTAAATGATCTGGATGTGAATATAGGAGGCATGGTTCGTAAGTTTGTAGACGACCCCAAATTTGGTGGTGTGGTGGACAGTGAAGAAGGTTATCTGACAGTATGATAGGACCTTGAACAGATGGACCAATGGGCCAAGGAGTAGCAGATGGAGTTTAATTTCGATAAATATGAAATGTTGAATTTTGGGAAGGCAAATCAGGGCAGGGCTTATACACTTAATGGTAGGGCCTAGGGATGTTGACAAACAAAGAGACTTAGGGGTGCTGGTGCATAGTTCCTTGGAAGTGGAGTTACAGGTAGACAGGGTGGTGAAGGCAGTATTTGGCACACTTGCCTTTATTGGTCAGTGCATTTGAGTACAGGAATTGGGAGGTCATGTTGTGGCTATACAGGACATTGGTGAGGCCAATTTTGGAAAAATGCATACAATTCTGCTCACCTTGAAATTGGGAGGATGTTGTTAAACTTGAGGGTGCAGAAAAGATTTACAAGGATGTTGCCAAGACTGAACAGTTTGAGCTATACGGAGAGGCCAAACAGGCTGTGGCTTTTTTCCCTGGAGCATCAGAGGCTGAGGGATGACCTTATAGAGGTTTCTAAAATCATGATGGGCATGGATAGGATGAATAGCCAAAGTCTTTTTCCTAGAGTGGGGTAGTCCAAAACTAGAGGGCATAGGTTTAGGAATGAGAAGGGAAAGACTTAAAAAGGAGCTGAGGAGTAACCATTTCACGCAGAAGGTGGTGCATTTATGGAACGAGCTGCCACAGGATGTGGCGGAGGAAGGTACAAGTACAACATTTAAAAGGCACCTGGATGCGTATAATGAATAGGAAGGGTTTAGAGGGATATTGGCCAAATGCTGGAAAATGGGACTAGGTCAGATTGGGATGTCTGGTCAGCATAGATGAGTTGGACTGAAGGTTGTGTTTCCGTGCTGTATGACGTTGACTCTATTAAGCACAGTAAATAGATACCATGAATTTTGTTGATGAGAAGAGTGTTTGGGCAATGAGCATTCAAAAGTCATGAATTGATCACTAAATTTAGTAATAAATTGGTTTTCCAGTAGGATGTCTAGTCTAAGAAAAAAAATCCTTACCAACTTTATCTCTGCAATTTATTTTGAGCCATCACTATGGATGATTTCATTTACAATTCAACTATATTTACAGCAAACAGCAGTTCTATTGTACTACTTCACAATCCATTTGCATTAACAACTTTGAGTTGATTTATGGCACATAGCTGCATAATAAAATTTAAAAATTACTCAAACCACATCTGTTGTTATAAAATTCTGCTTTATTACCAGTAGATTATCATATCCCTCCAGGTAATTAACAATACAAATCATTAATATCAGTAAAATAATGAGGTAAAACAAAATCAGAACACAATAAATGATACTTTCAAACTATTTTCAGGTCAGGGAATTAGAATCCCCAAACGTACTTCATCATTAACATTGCCTTCCTAAAATGTTAAATACAAAAGAAATACCCATGCATTACAGTTAGTCATAGCTTCACCATTATTAATTACTACGGTCTAAATGACAAAATTTCTAATACTAACATATTTCAATAAAGGTTGCTATCTGTCCTTACTAAATCTAAAGGAATAGTAAACTGTTCATCTTAGGTTATCTAACATTTTGCAATTTGCCTTCTACAAAAAGTTGAATTTATATGGCATGTTTAGCACAATATAACTCCCCAATACATTTCACAGACTGGTATAAAGCAAAACTTGACATACAAGGAGATATCAGGACAGATGATCATCAAGTTGGTCAAAGAGGTAGGCTTTAAGGCTTGTTTTAAAAAGAAGAGAGAGTGTTTTAGGGAGGGAATTGTTGATCTTGGGCCTCATGAGCAGTGTCAATGATGGAATGATTAAAATTGAGGGTAGTTGAGAGGCCAGAAAGAAAGAAAGAATTTTGGATAAATGGATCAATATGCACTATCATCAAGGTCAGTGAACGTCAACCTGAAGACTGGCCTTTCTAATTCCTCACTTTTTTTAAAAACAAAATTACTACAAGTTTCTGTTAAGTCAGAAACGTGGTTCCATTTGTCGACTATAGCATTAGGTCACTTGCTTGCACACATCAAGTACAAAGAAAATATGCCGAGTCACAATTCTATGAATTTAACAAAGCTCAATAGTAAGGTGAAAAAAAGTAAGTTAATGTTGCTGTAGCTACCCAAGCATTTACTGTTTGTGAACATGATATTGATCAAAATGCAAGTAAAAATCTCTAGGAAAGAAAAATATTCCACAAAGAGTATGGGATTTTGAAATTGCCTAAAACTCTCACATCTCAGTAGACAAATGATCAGCTGAAGATGCAGCCCAAAGACAAAGGCACATGTTCCTGTATGACTTCTGGAATATCATAAAACCCAACTGACATATTAGTTTAATAAAATTGCACAATTGCAGTCCTCCATAAATTCTTGCTCCTTTCGGGTGTTTTATTAAGTTAAATGATAGATATGTAAGTATTTTGTTGTTCAAATCCTTTTCTTTTAAATTGCACCAGGAAACACTGTAAAAACAAACTACTTAATACAACAACAATGTGACTTCTAAATCTAACTAGGCAACACATCTATTGCTTTGTTTGAAATATTATCTGGTAGGCTAGTCTGAAGAACCTACATGATATCAAATAATTGATACTTTCTGAAATTGGAAATCAAGGAATAAATGCTTTGAAAGAGCTGAGTATTAATTCTTAACAAACTGGATCCATGTATTTTATTTGCTTCCAATTATGAGTTAAGTCATATCAAAGCTGTCAACCTTAGTTAATTAAACTCAAATGTGAAGTTTTCAGTTGCTCACCGAACAATAGCTGTTAAAAAAAAGGCAATACTGCACATTAATTCAGCTGAAAGGGTGAAACAAATGACATTAATATATTCTTCTCTTGCCAATCTTTCCAAGTTCTGTTCACTGTATTTTTAATCTTTCCTCATTTGTTCCTCAACACAAACTAACTGGTGTTCCCCTGTATCTAAAACAGGTTTGCCAATATCCACAGTGGAAGTGAAAGCCTCAATTCACAACCATTATAGAAGCAGGAATAGTCGAGCATCCATCAATTTTTGTGTACTCCAAAGCAGGACATGTGAGAAATTATGGGCACAATCCTCAGAAGAGAGTGATATATTATGGATACAGCAGAATTAGTACTATTTTGTAACTAGTATACAGTTGAGGAATGGAATGAAGCCTGTTGAAGCATGCAGTTTATTCAACTTGAAAGATAAGATAGACTATACAAGCACTGACAGTCAATTTCTTCACCTGTACTTTTCTAACTTTTAGAAAAAAAGAAAAGACTCATCATTAACTAACAAATGTAACTAGTTTAGCAGCATGGAATTAGAGACAACTATTAAAATCTGTCAGGTATCATGGGGCTACTTATACTAAGAAGAAAAACATTTTTGCGCTTTTCACAAAAGTGCCATACTGGGAAAAGAACTTTATTGTGAGCAATGTTGATTCTCAGACAAATACAAGGCTCAGAACATATGGTACAACTTTATTTCCTCTGCAAATTTAATAATTCCCACCAATATGCACTACACAAATATAATTATTTCTACAGTTCTTTTATCGTATCTGAACAAAATTAACCGTATTATCAGCTGATATTAACTCTTCATGCTCAGGTAGCATTTGTGAGCCCATCACAAAGATAACTGGAGTTACTGTGGGAATAAACAGATACCTGGAAGTGCAGACCTTCTGGCAGGGGAATTGCTTTTCTCACTCAAAAGATATCTGCTACAAGTTGAAATTAATGAACATTTATATGGAAAAAGCTACATGGCGTAGTAGGATATCAATGAAAAAAATAATTCTTTCCACACACAAATGCAACCTCAAGCAATTCCTAAAATTATTTTAAACCTAATATGATTTATAAAACAACGTAATAATCTGATCAAATTAGATTGCACCAAAGTGCTAAATTTACATTCAATATATATCACAGATATGTAATCCAGTCCATCAACTCTACAAAATATTTCCATATAGAAAAAGGAAGTCCTGTTGTTTCAAATGAGAAAGAAAATACCATGAATTTTACACAGTAATATATATTTCACAAGACAGGCTTGTGAACGGTGGATACGCAACTGCGATACATAAAAATGCAAAACAAACTGACAAATAAAATTGATCTATGAGGCAAATGTTTGTTGTATACAAAATATAATTACTCTGCATAATGAGTCATATGGGGAGGTAATCCACGTCATATTTATGCACTCCAAGCAGCCAGTTATAAAGTACTTGCAGACAGGTGTCCAGCTAGGCTTTCGAAGCTGGATAATTTTGTTCAACATGGGGGAAAAGAAGAAGTATTTAATTCTGATAACTAGTCAATTTGTTACATTTAATTTAAAAATATTCCTACAACCCAAAACGGTACAAAAAGCAATAACAGTTCCAAGTCATTAAAGCATGTGGGAAAATCAAATTATAAAGATTCCTGTTCCATAACTACTTCATAGAATTCTTCAGAAGCTAAAAGTGATAAGTATCTAATCAACAGAAGAAAAGGGAACATACCAACTCTTTAACATGCAATTTCACAATGAAAGTGCCATGTCCAAAATAGCTTAAATTTTCCAAAGAACACTGAATAAATAAGATACTTACTTGAACGTACTGTCAACACAAGAAGCTGAAAGAGAAAAAGTAACAATTACAAATAATATTCCTTCTCACCCTCATAAATTATTGGTTTTGTTGTCAACAAATGGACATGGATATTGTTATGATTCCAACTGATACTAATGCTGGACAAATCAGATTCCAGAATGAAGTCTAGCTTGCTAAATCATTAATGTTTTTTGTTTGCAATGTGACACGTCTTCATTACAATAAGACAATTTTTGAACAAGATTGGAAAAGTCACAATTTTTCATAATCCACAATAGTTTAATCATTTCTCGAAATTTGTAGATGAATAGTATTTTTAAATATCGCCCATATCTTTTTCTTAATCTTACTCATAATTCAAAATCAGCTTTTAACCCTAACTCATCTGGAAAGCACAAAATAGGAATGGTGGCAAGTTTTAAAAATGAAGAACTATTTATTTGGAGCTCCATACGAGATAATCTATAAATGCAGTAAAGCCATGATTTCAAATCATAACAAGAAATATACGAGGTCCTTGCTGAATTAATCTTAGGCAGGATGTCTCACTGTCCCCAGCATAGAGAGTGCAAAACAAAAATAAGACAAGGTTCTAGTGATATCCAGCAACCCTTGTGGCAAAAGTGTGTGAATGTAGTGACCGAGTTCAAAACTAATCCACCCCGTAGTTAAGAAGCTTACTATTGCTCATAGTTATTCTGGACAATCAAATATAGCCACTTAAATAGGTTATCCAGAGGCTGGTGGAGAACCATAAACCAGCACAAAATACTGCCTTCAAGAGAGGGCTTCAGAAAACTGAAAAATATTATTTGGCAACTGTTCATGTTATCAGCACAGAAGCTGCACAAGGTACAACTCGAAAACAAAACACGTTTCTTGAGTTTCTTTAAAAAAAAAAAGGCCTGCTTGGAACTATTTAAGTAATTATATACATTTTATTCAGTAAATAGAAATCTGATGTTTTACTAAGAATCCATAGGCTGACATTTTACTTTAGCTTTAAGAGTAAGGTAGCAAAATCACTGTCGACACCAAGAATTCTGCACAGACTTCCTCACAACAAAAGATAAATATTAAAATTATGTACATATTATGACCTCCAAAATTATGAAATGCTTCGAAAGGCTAATCATCGCTCAGATCAACTCTGGCCTACCAAACTGCCTTGATGTTTTGTAGTTAGCTACCAGTGCAACAAGGTCCACGGCAGAATCTCTCACCCTGGCCCTACTGATTGCTGGAACATCTGGATAACAGGGACAGCGATGACAGGCTCTGACTTACTGACTACAGTTTCACCTTCAACACCATAATTCCAAACAAACTCGACGCTAAACTCTGAGACCTAGGTCTTGGCTCCCCCCTCTCTAACTGGATCCTCAGCGGCCTATGGGTCAGGAAGTCATCAGTAAGAATAGGTGACAAAACCTCCTCCACCCCAGTGCCCCGCAAGGTTGCACACTCAGCCCCAATGAAACTCCCTATACACTCACAACTGCGTGGTCCCAACTCCATTTACAGGTTTGCTGGCAACACCACCGTTGCAGGTCAATCTCAAACAATGACAAGACAGGATACAGCAGCGGCATGGTGTAAAGACAGCGATCTCTACATCAACAGCAGAACAGAGGTGGTCATTGATCTCAGGAAGTAAGTGGAAGGCATGCTCCTGTCTGTACCAATCGTGCTGACAAGAGGTGGAGATGATCCATAATGTCAAGTTCCTGAGAATGACAGTCACTGACAATCTGTCCTGGCCCACCCACGTCAACACGACGGTCAAAAAAGTACAACAACTGTCTCTACTTGCTCAGGAGGCTAAGGAAGTCTGGCATGTCCATTAGGACTCTGACCAATTTTTATAGGTGTACCATAGAAAGCATCCTATCTGGAAGCATTACAGTGTGCTATGGCAACTGCTCCCCCCAAGACCGCAAGAATCGCCACAGAGTTGTGAACACAGCACAGTCCATCATGCAAACCAGCCCCCCATCCACTGATTCCATCTATACTTCCCATTGCCTGGGGAAAGCAACCAAAATAATCAAAGACCCGTCCCCACCCTGGTTATACGCTCTTCCACCTCTTCTGTCAGGCAGAAGATGTAAAAGTTTGAATATTCATACAAATAGATACAAGAACAGCTTCTTCACTGCTGCTATCAGACTTTTGAACGGACCTCTCAAATGTTAATTCTGATCTCTCTCTCTCTGTGCCTTCTCTGTAACTGTAACACTGTATTCTGTACTCTGTTCTACTTCCCTGAAGCACTTTGTATGGTACGATCTGCCTGTATAGGATGTAAAACAACACTTTTCACTATGTCGATACATGTGGCAACAATCAATCAAACATCTCCAGTAACATTTGTGTACAGATATGAGCTACGTTAGTATTCTTATTACATTATAATTATGATTTGGTTACAAACAAATAACAGCCTTTAATATTACTCTACATTATTAATCTGTGGTTCTTCACTACTTCTGTGTAAAAGCAAAGGCTGATCATGTAATATGGACACTGGCTTCTGAGAGTTACTGATCTGAACATATTGTGAAAGCATGGGACTAACATGTAATTGAAGCTGCAGTAACATTGAGATTGATGAGTTGTTGTTTTCTGCATTCAGCCCCCTTGTATGGTTGGAGTCAGTAACTCTCAAAACACTAGAGTAGATTTTGACTGCAACAATGTAGAACAGGTGATATTGGAGATATTAATAGAAGTAAACATCTAGAAAACAGTGTAAAACAGGCTACTACTGTAATGATCCAGTTCATGGCGTTACTAGACAGGTCAGATCCCAGAATGAAATGCAGCTTGATGGATCGTAGGTTGTTTTTTTGTTTCATTAGTTAACATGGCAGTTGGTCAATGAAACACATTCGCATGAGGCTGCAGATGTTCTTTGACAACAGAACATAATTTCTTACACAAAATAAAGAAAGCAAATAAACCAAGGGCTTATTTCATTCTTTTTCTGTATCTTTACACACTAAAACATAGTTTCACTCTGTTTCCCAATATTTTCTCTTACAGAGGCAATTCCAGAGAAACTATACTCCCATTTTAACATAAGTTGGTATCTAACTGACTCCTTCCAGTTTCTTTTTCTTCAAGCATAGAGACAACTTCATGATTCCTGTCAGAATCTGATGTCATGCATCTTTCACATTTATGATATACTAAACTTTTGCCAAATTTTAACAACTTGAGAATTCCAATGCAAAGCTCTCCTGGTTTCCTCTGAAACTCAAAAACTAGAACAGTAAATAAAACATGCTCTGAACTCAACTCTTGATTCTTCTCAACTAAAGCTTTGGTGTGTTCAGAACCGAGTTTAAAACCAAACATATGGTTTAATGCATTTCCACTATCATAAAACCAAAATAGAAACAACTTATTCAGTTAGCACTCTAGGGGTCCTCCCAAGGACTTGGTGTCAATCACGTGTCTTCTTGGAATTGGTACACTTGGGTCAGTAGTCCAAAATGACATGAATTTTGACATTTTATGAGAAAGAATTCCACAGCACTAACTTACATGTTACGTGGTTTTTCAACCAAATTCCAAAATTATATTTTATTTTACACATCATTTGTCACATCAACCATTTTATATTACGTCACAAAGACAAAATCTATGTATCTCAGTATATCAGAAAACAGGTGTTGAAATAAAATAGGTTTTCTTTTTAAGAAAACTGAACAGCCAGGTCATACCAAAAAGTACTGCAGTTAACTCTAAGCAACAGGTTTGCAAATAACAGGTACTCATGGGGGAGAAAAGACTCTTTAAACAAAGCGGGGAACAAAAGGACAATTTGTCTCAATTTATTTGTATTTCTTTTCTCTTACCAGTGGACGATGAAACAATAAGACAGCCATGGTATTGATTTCGAACAAGATGCTTTGCCATGGCATCTGAGCCAGTAGTATCAGCTTCAAATGGACAGTGAGTACACACCAGTTTGACATCTCTGCAACAGTATAAAGTACATAACTCTTTGAAAACAAGTACTTAATCATGTGAAAGGATAATTTGTCAGTTCACAACACCTGAAAATTGGGATTACCCAAGGTATTTGCTTTTGTACAGGTTTATAACAGCTTGGACTGGCTGATGGAATATATCATTTCAATCAGTTAGTTTGAATTTCCACTGGGCACCTACTAGCATGCAATACCCAAGTCAGCAACCCTACGTTTGACTTGACTTGAGATTCTGGACAAAGATCAAGTTCTCAGCTTTTGCTGTCATTCTATTTTTGCCACATCACAATAGGATAAGTGAATGAGAAAAAGATGAGGGTACATCTCACAAATTAGGCTCGAAGAGTGAATGGAAATAGATGGGTAAACAGAAATCCAACTATGTGCATTTGAGCAATTCACAGATTTTTCAGATCCAGAATCGTGCTCCAGCAACATTATTCCACACGATGTGGAAGTGCCAGCATTGGACTGGGGTGGATAAAGTCAGAAGTCACACAACATCTGACAAAAGAAGCAGTGCTCCAAAAGCTTATGATTTCAAAGAAACCTGTTGGGACTATAACCTGGTGTCGTGTGACTTCTGACATTATTTCACATGGCTATTAACCAGTTATGAAACAACTGCATGTAACAACCAATTCCGAGCATCTACAAGAATTGGTAAGAGAATTCCACAGAGAAGTTATGAACCAAAATGTACTGCTAAAACTCTGCAAATGTCTTAGATTGCATTGAAAGCGCCAGATCTTCTGCCTGCCACATAAACACAGAGCTCTGGCTTGCAGTCTTTTGGGCAAATGGTCAAACTTTTGTGAAGAATTAACAGAACATCTTTCCAAGATGCTACACAGTGGGACTTGGTGGGGAATGACTATCCTTACACTCTGCATGTTTCAGACTTATCAAGTTCAGAGACAAAAGATATAATATGCGTGCCATACGAGTATCAGGCAATGACAATCTCCAACAACAGAGAATCTAATCATCAACCCTTGACATTCCATGACACGACCATTGCTAAATCCTCCACTATCTGTGTTCTGGGGGTTACCATTGATCAGAAAATGAAATGGATCAGTCATGTAAATACTGTGGCTACAAGAGCAGATGCAGCTAGTAATTTACTTCTTGTCTTTCCAATGCCAGTCTACCATTTACAAGCCACAAGGCAGCAGTGTGATGGAATACTTTCAACTTGACTGCATAAATGCCGCTCCAACATCTCTCAAGAAACTTGGCATTATCCAGGTCAAAGCAATCAGTTTTACAGGCACCCAGTCCACCAGCTTCAACATTCACTCCCTTCATTGCTGATAAACAGCGGCAGTAGTGTACGCCATCACTAAACCTCCTTCAATGCTACCTTTAAAACCCATGACCTCTTCCACCTAGAAAGACAGGGGCAGCAGAAGCATGGGAACACCAACACCTGTAGGTTCCCCTCCAAGCAAATCACCATCTTGACTGCATATCATTGTTCCTTCACTGTCACGGATCAAAATTCTGGGACTCCCTCCCTCACAGTACAAGAGCGTTCCAACACCCCATGATTGCAATGGTTTGGGACAGCTAACCACCACCTTCTCCACTGCATTTAAGCATGGGCAATAAATGCTCATTCAGTCTGTGACACCCACATCGCATGAGCAACCAAAAATAATTCACTGAGAAATGCAAGTGAAGCTGAGTGAAGGCTTCCTGATCTCTAACATTAAAACAATCTTTCCTAACGGAAGTTGACAATTTGTCTTCACCATACAAACTAAGGCTACATTTGGCCATCAACTACATTATTCAGTTTGAACTGAATTAACTTATTGGTTTTGTTTCCTATCAGATGGGGTAATACCAGTTTCAAAAAGCTTTATCATTATTTCTCTCATCATTTGATAGCTCACTGAATTACCTTGACGATCAGACTTTACACGAAGTCTGACCGTCAGAAGCAAATTCCCATTCTCTTAAATGGGGCAAATGGAGAATTACTACAAGTGCAATTTTCTCAGTGACCTACTTAGATTCAAAATTATATTAATTTTCCTACCTCAATTTGTTTGAAAATTCTCTGAACATCAAAAATTTCTTCTTACTTGGGACAGTATGAAATCTGCAAAACAGAACGCATTAAAAAGATGACATAGGTATATTTCAGAGAATAATCCTCTTTGATTGTCTCAATTATGCTTGATCTAAATAATAAAAAAACTAAAATGTTAATCACACAAAATAAAATCCTATTTATGAACACAAATTAACATAATATATTTATGTTTTCAGATTGTCAACAGCTGAACAACATTACCCATTTAAAATAGTGTTTTTTTGTTGGTGTTTGATTTCTTGTTTGAGCATATAATATAGTTAAATCAGCAGGAAAAACTAGGCTGCCGAAAACTGTGATGAAAGTTAGTAAAAACAATTTACTTTGGATATTATAAGGGACACAAAAAGAAAGATGAACCTAAACAACACAATAATTAGTGAAATTGATTAACACAATTCTTATCTGGCCAGATTTTTACTTCATCCCATTAGATTTTTATACATAGCAAAATGACATCTACTTATTGTTGAGGCTCTGGCTATTTACCTACACAACAATAAAAACTGTTCAAAGTTAAAACAATGGACAATGACGAGCTTGTAACTAGTAAACAGTGTTATTTTCTCCTCTCTGGATACAGCAAAGAAAGTGTCAAGGAGGAGGAATAATTAGACAAATTGGCCATGGAAAGATTCTCTACCTTCTGCTCATTTTCTCATCAATTACATTCCAGGCAAGGTGGTCCATTGGGAACTCTCCCAATGCATCAACTAACACCCTCAACTTGCCATCTCTTTGATGACCTACCTTCACAACAGGCAACGAGGAGGCTGGTTTCCTGGCTGGATAACAAAGGCAACCACGGTGGTGGTGGTGGTGGGCTCCAATTTCCCCACAATGACCCTCTGACTCCTCATTCTCCCCATGAACCCCGCCCTATAACAAGCAAAAGAAAATGACCTACCTTCTCGTCAGTGGATCCCTCAAGGAGTTGGCCTTGACTGACAGTCTCCAGGACTCAGAAGCTGCCAGCCTCTGGGGAGCCAGGATGCCACGGTCAAGTAATAGGCCAAGATAGTTGCTGAAGCTCACTAGTCAGCTCTTAACAAGCTGCCTGGTGTGCTAATGGTTGAGCTTGCTCTGCATTAAGGCTGCCGAGTTGGTTCACACATAACGCACTTGCTCCCAAAAAAGGTAAAATCACAGCCTTGTCGTGTGACTGAAGTTAATTCCATATTGACCTCAATCTTAAGAGACCACTGATGTTAGTGCAATCATTTTACCCTAGTCAACTAGGAATTAAAGACTAACATTTGTTGTATCATTTAGTTCTCTCATCTTGAAAACCCAGATCCTTACCCCTAATTTCTGATTGAGAAAAGGAATGAAGTCTAACTATACACATCTAATCTACTACCAGCACAAAAAATACACTTTTAACACATATACTCAAGCTGCAATACTTACATGCATATCTTGCACCTGACTTCTGATAAAATGATAAATTGTATATGAAGGGAGGAAGTTAGCAACTTGTGGAGGATTTTGTTTTTCTACACCTCTTCACCATTTAACTTGCCCATTTTGGTAGTGGAAATTGATAAAAATGTACTTTAATAATGCCTAAAATGTGACACAGTACTCAGTTTTGGGTAAAACGTAACCAAAAAGATATCCTACCTCTTCAAGTGAGCCACATAAGATCTGTTGCAGCTACTTCTGAATCGACAATAAGAGCAATGGGCATAAGTAGAAAAGTGATTGGCAAATACTTTAATTTCTGAGTCACACTCAATACACTTGTGAACCCCAGATTCAGCCCTGCAAATAATCAAAATGTATCGCAGTCAAGAGTGGGAAAATCAAAATTAAAAGTATTATTACTCTAAAAGTAAATAACTATCCTTTGAGAAAGCACCAATAAACTAAATGGATTTTTCTTAAAAACAGCATAAATTTTTAAAATGCCAGAAAGCCATTAATTCAACATCAAAAATTAGTATGTCAACACCTGAATTGTCTATTTATGGGGCTTGGGTACTTCGTACCCTGTTCCAGCATAAGAGCTCAAGAAACTGCACCTAAACCAACACAATGCCAAACTGACCAATTGGCCATTTTGCATTTGTTTGCAAGATCTTGACAAATAAGGCAATGTCAAAGGGTACTGGTGATAAACAGGAAAGAAGAACTGAAGCCACAGCCATGATCATCAACCTAGCTATGACAGTCCTCTATGGTGAAGAATTCCACAGATCCAACAGCCCTACAAAACATTCCCTCTCATCCCTATCTAAGACAATTCAGAGTAAGGAGTTGCTTATGTCCTCTGGTCCTTGGCTTGCCCATGAGGGGAAACAACCTCTCCAAATCTACCATGTCAAGCCCCCTAATAACCATGATGTTTCAATAAAGATCACCTCTCATTCTTCTAAACTTCGATGAGTAGAAACACAACCTACTCAACCTTTCCTCACAAGGTAGTCTTTCCATATCAGGGATCAACCGAGTGAACCTTTTCTGGGCTGCATCTTATTATATGCAGTACCTTACCAATGCCTTTGGGCAATCCAAGTATATTACATGCACTAGTTACCCTTCATTTTCTCAGCTTGTCAACTCCTCAAAGAACTGTAAGTAAACTTGTCAGGCATGATACTCCCTTCATGAACCCATGCCAGCTCTGCTTGGTTATATTATGGCTTCCAAATGCTCTGATATTACATCTTTTAGAACAGACTCAACATTTTCCCAATGACAATGTTAAACCAAGTGGCCTATAGTTGACATTTCTTTTTCATCTTCCTCCCTTTTTGAATTTGGTGTTTTATTGGCAGTTTTTCAATTGTCTGAGACTTTTCCAGGATTGAAGGATTCTTGGAAGATTACTACCAGTGCATCCACTATCCCTTCAGCCCCTTGATTTACTATTTTTGGAACGCTATTAGAGTCCTCTGCTGTGAAGACTGAATGTAAGTACTTGTTCAACTCTCTCGGTACCAAATGGCTTATTCCTTCGACTTCATACTTAGTATCTTACTCCATGGAAAAGAAAATCACTACCACACATGCCAATGTCACTTTTATATTTCCTTAAGTTACCATGTAGATTTAAGCGGAGACATGAAGATGTTCGACAGTCTGGCCTCTCTTTCTTAATGCAAAATTTCACTAAAGACATCCAAAGAGATCAAATAAATTAAGGGAGGGGATGAATTCAGGTCTCTCATTTTTCAATAAAATGAGTGCGAAAAATGAAAATGATGCTGGCTCTGCAATTATTCATTTAGTTTTATGTAGCCTTGTTTATGCATTTTTTGAAGGTACTAAAGTTAAGTTGATGTGCAGATAAATCTAGAAAATTTACCTGAATGATCGCAGTACCAAGTTAGCAGATTTGGTTATTCTTTTGTTGGGGAGACTTGGTTTCTTTTCCTCTTGCTTAAAGTATGGTGATGATAATGAACTTGTTCCAGTATTAACTTGATTTATAGTTGGTAACTGTGATTTAGTTACAGATGATGAGCACTGGAGTGCAGTTGCAGTGTTAGTTGAAGGCATGGGAGATGATCCCACCTGATAAGGTGTCATGGAAGCACGAATAGTAACCTGTTATATTAAGAAACACATCTATTAGAAGACTATAGGAAATTCCCCAACCAACAAACATTTTTAGTCCATGAATACAGTTTTTCAAACCATCAGATAACACAATTGAGCTGGATGAAGGGCTTATCTTATGAACAGAGGGTGAACCTATCCACTGAAGTTTAGAAAAATGAGAGATGCTGTTATTGAAACATACAAGATCTCGAAGGGACTGGTTAGAGTGGACAACAGGAGGAAGTTTCCCCTTGTGGGGAAGACTAAAACTAGGGAATGCAATTTAAGAATGAGAGATAAACAAAATCAGAACGTGCTGGAGAAATGCAGCATGTCTGACAGCATCTGTAGACAGAAAAATAAGTTAATGTTCTGAGTCCAGGGAGCCTTCACGAGACGTGAAAGTGGCTGGCAAAGGGCAGTATTTATGAAGATGGCGGCTGGGGAACACAGCAAAATGGATTGATGAACTCCATGCCCAGCGAGAAAGAAACAACAGGGAAGCAGACAAAGAGATTGTTGATAGCAAGCCGGGGAAGAGGAGAAGCCGAATAGACGATAACGGGGACTGAAAACGGGTTGGCTGTGCTCACAACAACCCTGCAGGACAGGATCTGGGAGTGGGTAATGAACACTGAATAACAGAATCACAGACATACAGAGAGGTGTTCACGCTCTAAAATTGCTAAATTCAATGTTGAGTCCTGAAAGTTGCAACATGCTTAAGCAGAAGATGAAGTGCTATTCTTGCAGTTTGCAAGGAGCTTTGCTGGAGCACTGCAGGAGGGCTGGGACAAAAAGTCTGGCATGGGAATACAATGGTGTGTTGAACTAGCAAGCAAGTGGAAGCTCGGGATCATTTTTATGGATTGAGTGGAGACGTTTAGCAAAGTGGTCACCCAGTCTGTATTTCATCTCCCCAGGGTAGAGGACAGCGCAGTGTGAGCAGAGAATACAGTAGACGAGATTGAATGAAGTGCAGGTAAATGGAGTCTTCACTGGAATGTTGTGCCTAAGGCCTTGGATGGTGAGAAAGGAGGAGATAAACAAGCAAGTGTTGTACCTTCTGTGAGCGCATGGGAAGGAGTCATGCAGTTGACAGGTGGTGTTTAGAGTGAAGGAGTAAACCAGGGTGTCACAGAGGGAACAGTTCCTGTGGAATGCTGACAAAGATGGGGAAGGAAATGTTTGTATGGTGGTGGCATTCCACTGGAGGTGGTCAGAAATGGTAGCTTATGATCAGAGGTTGGTGGGATAAAAAGTGATAACAAAGGAAACCCTATTGTTGTTGTGGGAGGGAAGAGAAGGGGTGAAAACAAATGCAGGAAATGGCTCACATGCAGCTGAAGCGACTGTAACCACGATCACAGGGAATCCTCAATTGAGGAAAATGGTGGACAGGTCTGAGGCTCCCCTATGGAAAGTGGCCTCATCAGAACTGATGCATTTGGGGTCAGAGTAACCGGGAGGACGGAATAGAGTTCTTAGAGGAAGCAACGTCTGAGGCTGTATAGTCAAGGAGACTGTGGGAGTTGGTGAATTTGTAATGAATATGAATGGCCAGTCTATCTCCAGAAATGGAAAAGGATATCAAGGAAGGAAAGGGAGGTGTCAGAGGTTGACCAGGTGGAGGTGAGGGAAGGATGGAAATTGGAAACAGGAAACAAAATTATCATTTTTCCAATTCCAGACTAGACAGGAAAGCAGCACCAATGATATGGGTATCCATGCGTTCTCAGAGCCATACGTTTTCTCCTATGGAATGAATAAGTGTTCAAATTGTAACAAAGGAGATTCTTTTATCACACAAATTCCCGCTACTTAACCAATAAAGCAAAGATCTGAATTTAAGTTTTTCAAACTGGTTTCCCCAAGGAAATCCAAAGAGGGCAATGTTATCATCAGATTTCTGACTATCTCCAGTCAGGCAAACCATAACAATGGTGTTTTGAATATTCAGTATTTGATGATATACTGGAATGTATCTTCCAGAATTTTTTTGTAATGCAGTTCATGAAAAATTCGAGACTCAACATATGGACTATGTAGCACGCTTGGGAGTAAAGACGACAATGGACACATGGATTGCTCCCTCCTATTTGTCTGGATCAGTTGTTGACAAATGGATAGAAATTTGACGGCAAGTGCCTTCTTGGTAGAGCAGAATGGCTTAGCAGTAAAGAGTTGACCAACAATGTGTGAGACCACAGTTACACTGACAAGACCCAGGTAAGGACAGCATGTTTTCTTCCCTAAAGGATAATCATGAACTAGAACATGTAGTTCTGCTACAATGCATGTTTCGTTAATGTGAATTGGCTGTAATGCAATTGATGAACAGTGGACGCTGTTTGGACAACGCAAACTTTCTGCTGTACAGGTATAGCGATTTTCTTTAGTGATTTCCCTATAACACGACATCCCACAAGAACGCAACTATCGCATTATAGGACAACTACCTGTATGTCAACAAAGTGGAATTATTCAATCTGACAGCTTCACAGTAAATTCCACTGAAATATTATTGAATTAGTTGTAGTTTTTTTTAAAATAAATGAGTCCAAATTCTTAATCTGCTATGGCCTTAAGTCGAGGTTTCTAGTCCACGAACAGAAACACAGCATTATTGTACCTGTTGTTTCATCAGGATGCTATACAACAATTAATTATTCGGCTGCTAGTGAGTATGTTCATGTAACTGGTACCTTCTAAAGTGGCAATGAGGGCCACCAAGTATACCCTCTGATCTGTAAGAGGTTAAACACTATCAGCTGATCTTGAGGTTGATTAAAGGGCAATGACTTTTCTGCAAACTGGTGGCTGCCTCTAAATCCAAATCCAATACAAGGTCAAAAACTAATATAATTGGCTACCGCTTTTAAATTATGAAAATATTTTTCTGTTTTTGTAAAGTAGTTATAAATGTATTAAGAGTGTCAGTTACAATCAAAAATCTTGAAAATGACACAACTTAAACTTAAAATACTGTGCAGATAACATCATGCAATGACCAAAGACATTTTTCAAACCTAGTTCCTGCCAAAAAGATTACAAACTGCTGGAGAAGTTTCATAAATTGCTCTTGAACCAGCTTGTCAGGTGTTCACCACAGATGCCTGAAGTTGTTATTTTCAATTCTTCCTTTCTTCTTTCATTTAACGTTCATGTAAAACCCTTCCAAATTTAAATTGCTGGAGGCAGCAAGTAAGAATTAGACACTAGCCATTTCCCATTATTCTGGAATTCAACACACAACTAATAACGAGTGTGCAAGCTGCAGGTGACGAAAGGGTCTCTGCATTTTATCTTTCACTTTAATTTCTGGATTTTTTTCACTTCAAGAAGAGTATACTTAAAGCAGTTACAATAGATGGTAACTATCGCATAGCATTTAAAATTTAGCAACAAACACTATTTTCTACATTGGTCATTTGCATCAGGCATGAATTAGTGCATGGAGTCACACAATGTTGTGGATAAAAATAGTGGTGGCAGTGGTGAGCAGGGGGTTATGCTCTTCAAACATATTATTTAAAATTCAAGGCCCATTTGCCGAAAAGGACAATTGAGCAAGTACAGCATTCTCCGATTTCAACTACATTCATGGCGACAAGAATTATGGAATTAGACTAGCAGTGCTGTAGACATATGTCCCACTGAATTTTCCTTCAGGAAGAGACAAAAAAACAAATTAGACTTTGACTTAAAACCCCAAGTACTTATACGATCAAAGAAATGTGCAAGGTACGTGTACATGTAGTGTTATATCAAGCATATTCAAAGTGACTGCATTGGTAGTCTTCTATGCCTTTATAAACCAAGTAGGTCTGACAAATTTAAAACCGAATGCTTCTTTGAAACATTTAACGTCAAACTAAACAGTAATATTAACAGGAATATGAAACAATTATTATATTCTGCAATAACTCTCTCAAAAATGCAAGCGTAAAGCTCTACCTTTGTTCCAGGAGGTAGACCTTCTAGCTGCATAGGTTTCCGAAATGTCCTATGATGTTGAGTTTTATGGTCCAGTTTTTCTTTACAGGTCAAGAACTGAAGCTTACACTTGCTGCAACGGTAGACTCCTTTTTTCTGGACAAGCAACAACAATTTTAAGTACTTCTTTGAAATTAGAATGTAAAGAGGTGAAATTTACATAATTCAGAGCTGGTTGGTGTAATAAAAGAGCACTTAAAAGGGGAGGGGAGTGAATTGTGGCAGAATGGTCTTTCATCTAAAAGATTTGCTTGTTTGAGGTTTACATTCCTTTGTTTGAACAAAGCATTATTCGACCTGTACCTCCCAAATGACATCATTTCCATGTTTAAGTTGGGCAGCACAGTGGCTTAGCGGTTAACACTGCTGCCTCACAGCACCAGGGAGTTGGATTTGATTCCAGCCGTAGGAGTGCTGATAACCACCTCTCCAAGCATTTTCACCAGGTGCCAATCTCCTTTGTCCCCATAATCCTGCATATTTCTTAAACAGAAACAAACATCTAATTCCCTCTCCAACGTTTCAAATGATATATACACATGCCCTTTAGAATAATACCATTATTTTGTATTTCGTCTACTCATTTTTCCCAAGCTTTATCACTCAAAAACTTGGAAAATGTTCCAGATACCCAAATTGAGGCCATTAATGTGCAATCAAGAAAAGCAGCAGTTGTAGTACAAACCCTGGTGAACTCTGCTATACATTTTCCTATAGCCCATAAACAAACATTCACTGCCACTTTGAAATTCCTGTTACTCAGTCAACTTTGTGTACATCCAAACATTTCTCTTTTCACCCAGTGTCTTTTGGAACTTCAAATACACCACATCAACTGTGTTAGCTCATCAAAAGACTCAAACTAGTTGATTAAACATTGATTTAAACTGTTGCTAGCTTTCCCTCATCGATATTTATCCAACCAACTGTTAATTTTATCCCCAATCATCAGCTCGAACATCTCAAGAACAGGAGTGTCTCATTTGCATTTCTCCAATCCTCTTGCATCCCCTCCCAAGGTGGTATATCTGCTTCCCTAAAGGATATTAGGAACAAGATTTAGTATTAACAGAAGTGACAGCAATGTCGCAATAAAACAGAATTGAGAACAGCTTTACATTACAAACTTATTAACTGTATTTCAATTCCACCAGCTGTCACAGTGGGATTTGGACCAGATCATAGGCCTTGGCCTCCAAATTACTGATCTCATGACATTACCACTACACCACCATATCCCCATGAAGATAGCTTGTTGTTCTGAGGGTGGTGATGGGTAGAGTCTCTTTTTTAAGATGATCAATGCCTGGCACTTACATAGAGACATACAGTTGTACAGAATGGAAACAGATCTTTTGGTCCAACTTGTCCATGCTGACCAGATAGCCTAAATTCATCTAGTAGCATTTGCCCCATATTCCTCTAAACCCTCCTATTCACGTACCCATCCAGATGCCTTTTAAATGGTGTAATTGTACCGGCTTCCACCACTTCCTCTGGCAGCTCATTCCGTACACCCTCTTCTTGAAAAAGTTGCCCTCTTACATCTTTTCCCTCTCACCTTAAAACTATGCCCTCTAGCTTTGGGCTCACCTACCTGAAAAAAAGACGTTGGCTATTCACCCTATCCATGCCCCTCATGATTTTATAAACCTCTGTAAGGTCACCCCTCAGCCTCTGATGTTCGATGGAAATTAGCCCCAGGGTAGTCAGCCTCTTCCTTCAGCTCAAACCGTCCAACCCTGGCAGGATCCTTGATAATCTTTTCTGAACCCTTTCAAGTTTCACAACATCTTTCCTTTAGCAGGGAGATCAGAACTGAACACAGTACTCCAAAAGTGGCCTAACCAATCTCCTGTACAGCCACAACATGACATCCCAACTCCTACACTCAATGCACTGACCAATAAAGGTACGCGTACCAAAGGCTTTCTTTACTACCCTGTCAATCTGCGACTCCACTTTCAAGGAACTAGGGCGGCATGGTGGCTCAGTGGTTAGCACTGCTGCCTCACAGTGCCAAGGACTCAGGTTCGATTCCACCCTTGGGTGACTGTGTGCCCTTTGCACATTCTCCCTGTGTCTGCATGGGTTTCCACCAGGTGCTCCGGTTTCCTCCCACAGCCTATCATGTGCAGGCTAGGTGAATTGGCCATGCTACATTATCCATGGTGTTCAGGGATGTGTGTGTTAGGTGCAAAAAGGTGCAAAACCAAACCCAGCAAATACAAGTGAGCCTGTTTAACTTGAGTGGCAATGAAATTTTTTGAAACAATTATGCAGGTCAAAATTAATAGTTACATGTACAAATTCAGGTTATTTAAGGAAACCAGCATGGACTTCAAGGTAAAGTCATGTTTAACTAACTTGCTGAAGTTTGGGCAAAGCTGTTGATGTGGTGCACATGGTTTTCCAAAAGGCACTGGTTAAAAGGTGCATAACAGATGTGAGCAAAGTTAGAGCTAAAGGATTAAAGGACACTAGCAACATGGTTACGAAATTGGTCAAGTGACAAAGAATATAGCGATTAATAGATATTTTTTGGGCTGGGAAAGTTTGTAGTAGAGTTTCTCAGGGATTGGTGGTGCTGGGAGTATTGCCTTTCCTCATATTAATGACCTAGATTTTGGTAAACAGGCACAATTTCAAGGCTTGCCAATGATGTAAAACTTGGAAGTATTGCGAACTATAAGCAGGATTGTGTAGAACTATAAAACAGGAGGATTGGTAAAATAGGCAGGAGGGAGATGAAGTTCAAGGAGCAAAAATATGAAGTGATTCTTTTTCAGTCGGAAGAAAACAAACAATTTAAAAAGTAGGATATAATTAAAACAGAAGCAGAAGGACTTGCCTGTATATATGTGTAGTTTATTGAAGGCGGCATGACAAGTTGGGGGAAGAGTTAGTAAAACAGACAGTAACTTAATTAGAGCATGGATTACAGAGCAGACAGGTCATGTTAAAACTTGTTGAAGACATTAGTCTAGTCTCTGGAGCACTGTGTTTAGTTCTGGGCATTGCCACTTCAGGAAAAATGTGAAGGCACTAGAAAGAATGTAGAAAAGGTTCTTGAGAATGGTTCCACGCATGGAAGAATTTTGGTTATTAAGACAGATTGGAGAAATTAGAACTGTTCTAGGAGATTTGATGGAGGTATTCAAAATCATGAAGGGCTCTGACAGTTATGACAAACTGTTCCCACTCATGCAAGGTTAGAGTATGGAATTGGCAAAACAGAAAAGAAATATGAAAAAAAGAATCATGCTACAAGTAGTTCAGATCTGGAATAAGTGCTTTGCTCTCTACCCTCCCAACAGACAGAAAGTATACTGTGCTAATTTACTGGAGAAAAATATCACTATTACTTATCTTTTTTGCTTATACAGATGTTTCAGATCACAAAATCCCAAGAAAAGTGCTTACTCTATAGATGGTGTCCACTATAAAATATTATTTTCCTAGACTTAAGGAATTTGTGGGCTGAAATTGGGAAAGAACTGTTTTAAAAGAAAGAATTATTGAAGGATTGTTGCGGTTTTTGAAAGCAAATAACCTGACACTCATTGTGAGCGCTGTTTACACACGGCTGCTTATTCAAGCAGTAGTTAAGTGTAGTTCACAGATGAACTGAACACGGAAGGGTCAGTACAAATGGAGATTCAGCTGGCAACAAACTGATGAGTCTGTGGACTTGTGATCAGCTATCAATGACAAGGGTCTTCTACCAGCCAACAACTGTGAGATTGCTTTTCAGGCAGCTTAACAGATTGAGATTGGGGCTGTAAACAAGATACAGGCTAAACTATCAGAATTTGTCCAGCTCAGGAGCTCTATGTTCTCTGCAGGACAATTCATTTTAAGCCTGAAGAAAACCTGTTTAAATCGATCCTTCTGTAGTTGCTGTAAGCTACGACTCTTAACTAGTAAGTCAGACATCTTTCACAAGTGTGAACCAGCCGCACTATGCCTCTTGCAAACCACTGAAAGCATCCAGGAAAGGTAAACTAAGAAGCAGTGAACCATCTCAGCAGGTACTGTGAAGAGACCACCAAAACTGCTTTCTCAGTTTTTCCCTCGGCCCATAACACCCACGTTTTTTCCCTGTGTGTATAAGGGGAAGGTTATAAAGAGACTAGAGTTGTAATTATTGAACAATCGTTTACCTGTATCTAGTAGATACAAGTAATAGTACCTATATATCTACTATTAGTAATAAGTAGTAAATTGTGTTCACTACAGAAACATGCTCCAAGCTTTCTGTCAACCAGAGTCTGAAAATTGGGTAAACTGGGGAATTTGTGTGCACTTTTCAAAATCTTAATCTTTTGTAATGACTCCAGGAATAGCAAGCCTTGATTTTCAGCATGTTACCCCAGGTGAGGCATAACATGGACGAAAACATATGAAGTCAGTACAACTTAAATACAATATTTTTCCTGCAAATTATGATTTATGCACTAGTACACAAACAATAAAATAACCAACATCTTCTGAAACTGTGTGTAGTCAAGCTACTGCCAACTTCTCAATGGCACGGAATTGTAAAGTTTAATCAATCCAAGGCAAGTATATAACTGAGCACCATATTCTAAAACTGGATTCTGGTTATGCTGACTTCTCAAGTTGCTCAGCTATAAGCTACAAATAGATTTCTCTGCTGACAGTGCCGAAGTAAGACGTTCAATACAGTACACTTAACAATGAACATCAAAAACAACAATAATGTTGTAACTGAATACTGAACTACTTTTCTCCTTAATGCAGATCTTTCCCTCATATCTGTATTTTTCTCATGCTCTACTACATTTAACGCAAAGAGCAATTTTTTCATGAGCTAATTGTCTCAACTGACCCTAATCACGACAGACATTCTTTTCCAAGTAGTCAGCAAGTTAATTTAGATGTAAAAATAACTGTTACGATAAATTATTTATCCATTCTCTGTAAAGAGAAATTTAACAAACTGCATGACTATAAAAATACATTTATGAAGTTATAAATGTGCGTCAATGCTAATACTGTACCTGATGTCTCATGTAATGCTGAACATAAGCATTTCCACTTTTAATGACCTTAAGGCAAAAAGGGCAGAGCAACTGCTTGGTATTTTCATGAACAACGCGGAAATGGTTATCAACATCTGAATACATTGATGACCGATAGTTGCATACCTAATTTGGAGAAAACAAAGGGTAGATCCTGTAATTTTTAACAAAAATGTTGAAATGTTCTTTAACAAAAAGCAATTGAAAAATTACCTGACAAACATATGGCATTTCCCCTGGTTTATGATTGTCTTTCATATGTTGCAGAAGTACTTGCTCAGATTCATAGGACAACTCGCAAATTTTGCAAATTGCTAGAAGGCAACCAAAGCACAAGAATACAACAAATTACACAAGATTTGCTTCTTCAGATGTTTTCCATCTTATAAATTTTGTCACGATTAGAAAAAAAATAACAGAATCGTTGCATCACCCTACTCGGAAGAATGTGATGTTTAACAACGGGAAAAGAATATCTCTTTTAAACGTTACCAAACTCCTGCACATTCCTGAAAGTTGTGGTATTCTTATCTGCAGCAGTGTGTTATGAATAAAATTAAGACATCTGACCTATAGATTTACACAGGGTGGATATCTGGACAAGCCTCACCGCTGATCCCATTAAACCACAAACAATTTTTGCCGCCTTTTACTTCTGTTCGGATTCAGCCTTTGTACATTGGAGGAACATACAGAAACGTCCCCGGTGTCTGGCACGTATAGGCAATGGGTGCTGCCAGTCACCTGTATCTGACAGTTTCATGACAAGTACTAGTGGTGGCTGGGAGTACACAACACGTCAAAACTATAAGGTGAATGCACATTTTAAAATCTCGCGGCTAGGACAGCTTAATAATACTGGTATAACTGGGTGCGATAGATGATTCTGGTCTTTATTGATAAAGTAAGTCTTGAACAAACTAATAAAGCATGCACACCATCATTCCCTTCCAATTGCTCAAGTCCCTGCTGTCCAGATCCCAAGCATCCAGAATTTTCACACAAATGGATTCCGAGATTCAAAGGGGAATTTGGACGCTTGAGATCTGCGGAACAGGGACTTCACTGTAAAGAAAATCTGCCTTCTCAAAATATTTAAATACTTTACAACAGCTTTTTCTTCGCAGAACTAGTTGTGCTATGCTGAGATTTAAAAGTTATTTCCTTTTATATTTCCCACAATGCTTTGCTGCAAGATGACTTAACTTTGAATCTCCAAAATCAATTTCTCTAATACATTGCAGATTTTCTCCAACGTACTTTGCAGTTCTTATTCATCAAGTAATTTATCAAAATAGCAATTTTATTTATGCTAATTTTATTTGGAACCAACCCCTTTGCTCATAGTAGTACTGGATTTACAGCAAGTTTAGTTATCGCAATACAACATCTATACGAATATACAAGGTCAGACTAGATCAAAGTGTTCGTCTAACTGACTCTCTACAATTTGCCTTTTGCAAAACTGTATACAGCATACATTCTCATGTGCAAGAATAAACTGAGCAGCAAATCCATCATCAAATTGCATTCCACTGCCATCGAAAAATCAATCTTTGCATGAACCAGACCTCCTAGATACTTACTTTAGAACAGTTATATTAAAGCACAGAAACAACATATAGTCAGCTGGATTTAAGATCCTATTAGATATTGGCGGTCTGTAACCTAATCACCACTAATTCTACATTAATAAAACTGTCTGTACATCTATCATGATACAATTAATGTTCTTTACTAACATTTCAATAATTAGGGAAATGGTGATTTTATTCAAATTCGGGCAACGATTACAGCTGAATATTATCCTTCCATTTCTGGGATCCAAATTTGAACTTAGCTGAAATGTAAAGATGAAAATCTACTTTCTCCGTTGACCACAGGAAATCCACATGAACGTTAGGGAACCTCAACCAGGTTCTTGATGAACTGCGGCCATCATATAAACTCTGCCCACTAATTTACAACAAATTTTAAACAAGGTATAAGAAGAAAAGGCTCATTCTGGTTAAACAAGTTCAAGTTGAAGCAACATTTCATATCACAGTAAAGTAAATCTACAGGCGACATTGAATACCCAAGTGGACAAGCATTCATTCACTATTTACATGCTTTACTCTGAGATCATAAAAGCTCAGTTAAGAAGGTTATGTTACAAATAACTTTCAACAAATTATATGGCTAACGCATTGCCTTGTCAGTAATGAAAATTATCCAAACAATTTAAGATATCCTTCTAAAAAAAAGTTACATGTTCCAAAAACACTTTGAGGTTGTTGACTTGCTCGCCGAGCTGGCTTGATTTTGTTCAGGCGTTTCGTCACTCTGCTAGGCGACATGATCAGTGGAGCCTCCGATGACGCAATGTTATTCTACTTCGCTTGGAATTTATACTGTCCGGTCCGTTACGGTGAGTAGTGTCATTTCCAGCTTTGATCTGTATGCGTTTGTATATGGAGTCCAATTCTATATGTTTTTTGATTGAAGTATGCGTAGAGAACCATGCCTCTAGGAATTCCCGGCACAACGAATTCTCCTTAATATTGGTACATTCAGGCAAAGAAGTCCATCAATTTAACTGGGACAAGGTAACCACAGTACCCCAAGCCAAACAGACACTCATGGGAATTCCTAGAGGCATGGTTCTTCACCTGTACGTCATCAACAAACATATAGAATTGGACCCCATATACAAACCCATACAGATCAAAACCGGAAATGACACTACTCACCATAACGAACCGGACAGTATAAATTCTAAGCGGAGTAGAATAACATTGCTTCCTTGGAGGCTCCACTGATGGATGTCACCTAGCATGGTGACGAAACGTCTGAACAAAAACAAGTCAGCTCGGCGAGCAAGTCAACAACCTTATCCAAAACCCCGAGCTACAGATTTTTGCCAAGACTTGAAACTAGCTCAATGTATTTTTAAGATGTAGAGGTGCCAGTGTTGGACTGAGGTGGACAAGGTCAGAAATCAGAGGAGACCAGGTTATAGTCCAACAGGTTTATTTGAAATCACAAGGTTTTGTAGCATTGGCCCTTTATCAGGTGACTTCACCTGATGAGCGGGCAACAGTCTGAAAACTCATGATTTCAAATAAACCTGTTGGACTATAACCTGGTGTCTTCTGACTATGTATTTTTGGCCAGACTTCTGCATTATCTTGGTTTTAGCATTAACTGAAAAAAATCAGTGGATGAAGATTGAGAGGTACTCGGACATTGTGGAGGTTTGTCATTTGCTGGGCCAGCATTTATTGCCCATCCCTCGTTGTCCTTGAGAAGATGGTGGTGAATTGCCTTCTTGAACTGCTTCAGTCCATTTGGTGCAGGTATCCCCACAATGCTGCTTGAGAAAGTTCTAGGATTTTTACCCAGCAAAACTGAAGGAAACATGACATATTTTCATGTCAAGATACTGAGTAGCTTGGAGGGGTACTTCCAAGAGGTAGTGTTCCCATGAATTTGATGCCCTTGTTCTTCAAGATGGTACAGGTCATTGATTTGCAAGGTACTGTCTAGGAAGCACTGGTGAATATTTGCAGTGTGTCTAGTACACAGTACACACTGCTGCTTCCCACCAGCGGTGGTGGATGGAGTGAATATTTACGGATATGATGCCAATCAAGCAGGTTGTTCAGTTATCAGTAAAGTTAACAATCTGAAGCAGGAACCAAGATAAATTTAGCTTTTGACAACTTACGCCAGGGTGTAACTTTCCATATTTTTATATTTTATAACAAATGTTACTGTACAAGAACATTTTGCAAAAATATTGAGCCGCAAAAAAACTCAAGTAGAACAGTATCAGCACAAAGTTAAAAAACACAGCAACAACAGGAGGCCTTTCAACCCTCAAATCTGTTATTAACTAGAGATCAGCCATGATCCAATCTGAAACCTAGTTACCCGGCCTTAATTCATCTCCCTTAAGATCCTTATACAAGGAAAACATTCACTTCATAAGATTACAGTACAATTAGCTAATATTCCATTTAATGGTGACTGTAATACATTGATACATCCTCAGAGGTCAGAAGAACCAACTAGCCATTCACAACTTGAAATTTCAGAATTCTGTGTGCAAGTAAATCTGGTTTGAGGAGAATTACACAAGAAATACAGCCTGTTTGCAGACAAATAAGATCAAAAGATGCATGGGCTAAACATAAATACAATTGTCATTCTATTTACTGATATATCAAAATCTTATTGGAAAATGTAACATTCTCGGATGCAGTTTCCCTCGACTGCAGAGTCTGCACCCAGGAGTCAGTCTCGGGATAAAAGGTCTGTCTTTTAGGACTGAATTGAGAAATTGCTTCATTCAGAGATTGTGAACCTTGGATTTCTTTATCCAAGAGCGATAAGACAACAAATATATTCAAAAATTAATTTTGGGCTTTAAGGGAAACAAAGAATGTAGGAATGGGACAACAAGTGGATCTAGTGCAGAAGTCTGAGATCTCAATGAATGGGTCAGGAAGGTATTTCTCTTAAAGATGACAATCCCACATATCAACCTTGCAAAAGACATTTTCAGCAATCCTCAACTACAGATCTACAGTGGTAGATGATAATATCCGGTATACATGGGTGAACTGCTGTCAATGGGAGAAATACAACATACAAGCAAATCAATAAAAAGAACACCAAAGTCTGTAGGCTCTGATAGAATGCCAGCTAAGATTTTCAAAGCTTACAATTTTTGCTCATATCCACAGTCCATACATTTGGGAGGAAAAAGAATGCCCCAGCATCTCTTCACTCTTGACTTCAGGAATGCATGAATTGTAATTATCTTGGAGAAGGGAGATAAATCAGTTTGCAGAAACTACTTAAGTACTTCTCTTTTCCTTCCAGAGAAACCATTGTCTATCAACAAAGACCATGCCAAACAAAAGAAAGAGATCAAGAATAAATCTGGAACTTACTGCATTCAAGAACTTTTCATTGCATTCATTCAACCAGACCAAAGTACTTGACTTCATAAATCATGAGGCCCTGTGAATTATGCTCCAGAGACTTTAAGGATCTAGAAATTTCATCACAATTCTGTAATTGCCTCATGATGATGTGACTACTGAGAGTGGGGCATCTGAAACAGGCACCTTCAATAATCAGACTGGGGTCAGAAAAGACTATGTGATCACTCCCATATAATTTACAATCTGAGTGGTTATTCAATTCTCAAAAGACCAAATGCCCTCTTGAGAGAGTATTCACATGCCACTTATCTGCAAACTCTAAGCTTCAGCAGTCCCTATGTCAAAACTAAACTGGCCACCTTAGGCATACATGACCTACAGTGTGCAATGAGTGCTGTGTGGTTGCCCACTCTGCTCCAGATTTTCAAGCCAGCCTCAATCTCTTCAATTCTGCATTCAAAAAACTCAGCATATGCTTCAATGCTTCAAGACCAAAACTCATATCAACCCAACTTTTGTCAGTCAAAAACTTGCCTCCAACAATGCTGAAGAGAGACTCTGGAATATGTGGAATACTTCCCGTACCCTGACAGCCACTATTCTCAAAAAGCTACTTTGAAGACAAGATTCAACCCTGGATCAGCTGTGTCTGTTCAGTCTTCTGCATAGCATGGCAGAGTGAGTTTTGGCAACAGTGACAAATATTCTGTGCGTTACTGGATTTAAAAGAGACAGTTAATAATCCCAACTGTAGCATTCACTCTGGTATCTGAACTTAGCAAGCCTCACTGAATGAATTATGTCAGGTAATTGTACGGATGCTGGATCAAGACAGAAGTGCCATGGCAAGACTGCCTCACTCTGTACAACCGAGTCAACTTATCATGTAATGCAAATCATCCAGCTACAGAAAGAAGCATGACAACAAACAAAAAAAGTCTACAGTTTCACAAGAGAACAAATTAAAATACATAATAAAAAAAATGCCCTGCACCTTGCCGAATGGAAAAGGCAAAAACTAATGGAAGAACCCAGTATGGCATGCATTGTACATGTATAAAAACTTATTTTACTTGGGTGAAGTTTCACCAGACAGTGAAAGTATAATTATCCCAGGTAACAGACCAAATAAGACAGGAGAATGATACTGTTATGTTTCTTGGATGTCAAAGTCACTTGGACAAGAAAGCTGCTCTATTACACTTGATATGCAGAAATAAAATTTGTCATTAAAAAGGTAGAATGAATTCATACCATTCACCAAACACCTGTAATATCCTGTGTACAACTACATTCATGACAGGCATAGAATATGGAACTACAAAGTAAAGATTAACAAATTGAGAAACATTTACCATATTCAAGAAAGCACAAAGCTTGAAAGCATAGGGCTTCTCATTTTCAATTAATGAGAATTTCAACACTACTTGTAGATGCAGATGTCAGACCTAAAGACTTGTGAAGCATTCACCAATGGTTCCCTGCATTTATTTCAATGAGTTCTTGTCCATGGATTTTTCTAGCTTTTGATAGATAGAGGCATTCTTAATATTATTCATTATTTCAAATAGAATACACAATAAAATCTTAAAGCACAATATCCCAGATAATTTAATCAAACTTGCAATTACAAAGACGAAATCTGCCATGTAACATCATACAAAACGATACCCAACACTTACTTGTTGACTCATATGGACTGTGAGCAGTTTCAATGTGGCACTGTAGCTGAAAGGGTGTGGGGAACTGACGATGACAATGTTGACAGGTAGTGTGGTTTTCCCAGCTCTCGCTGCTCTGCTTCTCTAACTCCATGTGATGCTTCATGTGATTCATAAACCTATCAATGACAAGGCAACTAATAAGACACTTATCGCTAAGACAAAGCTTTAAACATAAGGTGAAATCAACTGCAAGTAACTAAAAACTATATTGATTCAACTTTGCAAAATGCATTACACACAGTTTTAAACTTGACAATTTTAACTTTAAAGAATTATGAAAAACCAAGTCAGCAAAATCATCCAATTTTACCATTTTTAATCCATCTTTATTTAAAAATATGTAAAAGTGCAGAGAGTACCACTCCAAAGAGATTGAACACTGGAAATGCTCAGTTAGGTTCGGCAAAATTCAAGCTAAAAAATTTCATTTTTAATATTCATTCATGGGATTGTGTGTGTCATCAACTATCCCTAATTGCCGAGGGCAGGAGAGTCACGTGTAGGCCAGGTAGAAAGAAAACAGTTTCTTTCCCAAAAGGACTTCAGTGAAGCAGATGGGTTTTCCCCAACAATCAGCAACAATTTCATCATCAACTGTAAACACTTAATTCCAGATTTTTTTTTTTTGAAAATTGATTTCAAATTCCACCAGCTGCCATGGTGGGATCTGAACATGCGTCACCAGAATACCACCTGGGATTCTGGGTGTTAATAGTCAAGTGTAATACCACAAGGTTACCACCTCCCCATAGAGTTAACAGAGTTAACATTTCAGTTTGATAATGTTTCATCAGAGCTCATTCCATTTCTTCAGCCACAAGTACTGTGAACTCTAAGGAGAGATATACTAGCATTGGAGGCAGTCCTAAGAAGGTTCACTAAGTTGATCACGTGTATGGAGGAACTGTCTGATGAAGATGAGTAGGTTGAGTTTATACTCACTGGAGTTTAGAAGAATGAGAGAAGACCTAATTGAAACATCAATTTTTAAGGGGGCTTGACAGGGTTGATAACGGCAAGTTATTTCAACCTATAGGCAAGTCTCAGACCAGAGGGCATAATCTCAGAGCCCATTTAGAACAGAGATGAGAAGATTCTTTTTCTCTCCATGAGTGATGAATCTGTGGAATACTTCACTGCAGCGTCTGGCAAAGGGTGGGCTGTTAACTACGTTCAAGGCTGAGACAGCCAGATTTTTAATCATTACAGAATCAAGAGTTTTATGTATAAGGCAGAAAAGTGGAGCTGAAGATTCCCACATCACCCATGATCTCACTGAATGATGGAGGAGACTCAATGGGCAGAATGGCCTATTTCTCCTCCTATGTCTTATGGTCTTAAATGCTGCTAGACCAACTGAGATTCTACTACTACCTTTATTTTAAAGTTTTGAATTCTGGCATCTGCAGTATTGTTTTTGTGACCAATACAGAATCTGCTCATTGCATCAATCCTAAAATTAATTATTTTTGATATGCTGAATTTATCATAGTTGATATTTTCAGTTACATAATTAGTGAAAGCAGAAAACAGCATTAAGTAAATCGACTGAGTAATTCATTGTTCATGATATGAAGGATACAAAATTTTGTTGCATGAATCCAGATTAATAAGGCCTCAAATATTTAATGTGGCTGTACTTCCAAACAATAGGAGGGAAGTTACAATCAGAAAACCCTGGGGCTTAACATGTGGTGCTGGAGGAGTTCAGCAGGCCAGGCAGCATCAGAGGAACAGAAAATCTGAAGAAGGTTCCCAACTCGAAACGTCAGCTTTCCTGTTCCTCTGATACTGCCTGGCCTGCTGAATTCCTCCAGCTCCACACTTTGTCATCTCAGACTCCAGCATCTGCAGTTCTTTCTATCTCTATAGAAGGTAGGTTTTCTTCTGGAAATAAAAAAGCTCCTTGCTCAAATACTGGCCTCATTGATAAGAATTGCTCCCCGATTACCAGAAGAAATGCTCCAGGAAAGGAGTTAAAACAGTTAACACTGAGAAACATCGAAAATAGGAGCAAGAGTAGGTCATTCAGCTCCACGAGCCTACTCCATCGTTCAAGAGGATCATGGCTAATTACCGAACTTTAGTACCCTTGACCTGCTTTCTCCCCACATCTTTAGATCCTTCAGCCTGACAAACTATACCTAACCCCTCCTTGAAAACATTCAATGTTTTGGCCTCAACTGCTTCCACTCTCTGGGTTAAGAAATTCCTCCTTATCTCAGTCCTAAATGGTCTACCCCTGTACCCTTCGTCTGTGACCCCTGGTTCTACGCTCCCCTGTCATTGGGAACATTTCACGTGTGTTTACCTGTCAAGTCAAATTATAATTTTACAGGTTTCTATAAGACTCATTCATCATTCTTCTAAACCCCAGTGAATATTGTCCCAATTGATCCAGTCTCTCTTCATACATCAGTCCTGCCATCACAAGAATCAAGTTCCTGTTGATGAGAGTATAGCATGGTTTGGATGGTTTATGGATGATTTTGGGATGGTTAAACAGATATTAGGTGCAGAGATTCGTATGGATAGAACAGCTTGGATTGGGAAAAGGCTTGCTTAGTGGGCTCAGAGAATCCACTCTGCTTCACCAGACGTTCAAGCAATGTTGGCAATGCAAATACCCCACTATCAACATCCTAGAGGTTATTATTGATCAGAAACTCACTGGACTCAACACATAAACACAGGGAGTACAAGTCAGAAGCTAGGAATACTGTGACGAGTAACTCAGCTCCCGACTCTCTAAAGCCTGTCCACCACCTACAATGCACAAATCAGCACTGCGATGGAATACTCCCCACTTGCCTGGATGAGTGCAGCTCCAACAACGCTCAAGAAGCTTGACACTATCCAGGACAAAGCAGCCTGCCTGCCTGGCATTACATCCACAAGCATCCATTCGATCCACCACCAATGCTCAGTAGCAGCAGTGTGTACTATCTACAAGATGCACTGAAGAAATTCAAAAATCCTCAGACAGCACCTTCCAAACCCACCACCACTTCCATCTAGAAGGACAAGGACAGCGGATATATGGGATAATACCACTCTCCAGTTCCCCTTCAAGCCGCTCCCCATCCTGACGTGGAAATATATCACTGTCATTCACTGTCACTGGGTCAAAAGCCTGGAATTCCCTCCCTAATGGCATTGTGGGTCAACCATAGCAGGTGGACTACAGCGGTTCAAGAAGGCAGCTCACCCCCACCTTCTCAAGGGCAACTAGGGACAGTCAATAAAATGCTGGCCAACCAGTGACGCCCACATCGCACTAACTAAATCAATCTTTGCAGCAGTCCTCACCTCCATTGGCTTTTTGTGTATTCCCACATTCAGGAAGTCCAGGCAGCCAGCATTATAGTTGGATGAGAAATGCATGGTGCCTCCCCAAAATGTTTAAATACATGAACAATAAATTTGGGAGAGGGATAATCCTTGACCTGCCTTCACTGAATTGACAATGTGAGAGTTCCAATTTCAGATTTTTTTTAAAAAAAAAGTTTTAACATCATACTTAACTCAAACCCACCCATCCTTGGTAGAGTTAAAATCATGAGGGACAATGGATAGGGTAAATAGACAAGGTCTTTTCCCCTGGGTAGGGGAGTCCAAAACTACAGGGCATAAGTTTAAAGTGAGGGAAAGATTTAACAGGGATCCAAGGGGCAACTTTTTCATGCAAAGGGTGGTGCATGTATGCAATCAGCTGTCAGACGAAGTGGTAGAGGCTGATACAATTTCAAGATTTAAAAGGCATTTGGATGAACAGGAAGGGTTTAGTGGGATATGGGCCAAATGCAGGCAAATGGGACGAGATTTATGTAGGATATCTGGTTGGCACAGATGAGTTGGACCAAAGGGTCTGTTTCCATGCTGCATATCTCTATGACCCTATGACTGTAAATAAAGTTGGTAAGGTCAAAAGCTTAGTATTCTCAAATATGCACACAATGTTAAAAGTAGCAAACAACTAAAACCACTCAGCCTCTAAAGAACATTACATGTTTCTTGATGCATGCCTTAACAGGCAGACTATCAGTTACAGGCTGCATAGCTTATAGGAGTGGTCTCAAGCCACAGAAGGAAGATTCACAGTTCCAAGACAGTGCAGGTCAAATAATTTGAATAGCTTCAGGGTCAAGTCAAATATTTAATAAACTACATCACCAGAAAACAACTATGTTACAGATAGCAACGAACTAGACTGAGCCAACTGCCAAATGCACGTTATATTCGACTGCATGTCTGCAGTGTTTCCTATTTTAACGCTTGTACATCTTTAGAGTAATATACAGTGACTATTCAACAATTAATCCCAATCTTGAAGTCCTATACTGCTGATAACAAAAGGTCAGTTCTTTTGTATGTGACATTTTATAGCTTGCTGTTGGAATTGAAAATCAGTCAAGAAGCTATGATGTTAGGAATTGAGGGGGATCACCGATGTCACTTAAAGACAAGTAGTTACGTAACAATCCGGTAGTTGAATAAATAAATGACCAAAATCAAAAACATTAAAGGAGAGGGAAACTGCAATTAATACTATTAAGTCCTCACTTCTCAGAAACTGACCAAAATAACAGCATGCCACTACAAATGTTTACTTTCGACTTCATTATTTCTCAGTTAGAAAAAGTATTCATTAGATTCCAGATGTTCTCATGACCAATCACAAGCACATCCACTTAGGTGTATGCTTCTAAATATATATAATAGCGATTAAGATGCCCTCAATTATACATAGCTTTTGCTTTATTTAAGCAAGTCAACCTCCCTAATGCAACTACTCAGCTCAGATTTTCAAGCAGCCTGTGCTCTCAGAAGCCATACTCATATTTCAATTTTCACATTTTGCTATTTCAGCTTCCCTTAAAGGATTCTCATTCAGGGCAACTACGACCTTAACTGCCAGCAAATGACTATGAAACAAACGGGTGTAGCTGTTAAAACAGCTTACAGAAGCCTTTTTGCCACATTTTAAAGTAAAGTTATTCAATCAAAAGAACAGTTCTTGCACTGTATAAACTACCAACTATTTTTCATTACACATCCCTGAAGGGAATTCCACTGAAATCTGCTGATAATGCTATCAATCTATACAGAAAATGGT